ACGAGAAGAAGAAGAAGAAGAAGAAGAAGAAGAAAAGGAGAGAAAGGGCTGCTCTCTCTCTCTCACACACACACACACACACACACACACACACACACAAACCGTCGATGACCGAGGACTGGCCGGCGGGGTCCCTGGGCAACAGCAGGGGGTCTTCGGGGCTTCATCATCGTCGCGCGGGCTCCAATGGCCGACGTAGTAGGGGAACTTGTTTGCCAGCGCGCTTTCCCGTCGGCAAACTCGTCACCCCGACGCGAAAACGCGCGGGCAAACCAGTTTGAAAAACCGCAAAATCCAGCAGCAGCCAGGCACTTTTCGGGTCCCCAGAAGGCCAAAAAGTTTTTGCCGCCGGTGCTACCGGCCTGAAGGACCCCTATTGCACCCTGCAGGCGCCCGAAAAACTAGCCCGGGGGCCCGACCGGGGGTCCTGGCCGGCCAGGTGCCCGGGTGCCATTCCAGTCGGGAATTTGGCACCCAGGCGCCCGGGAAATCGCCCTAGCAAAAAAGTCAAAAAAAGCTCGCAAATAAATTCAAAAAAGTCAAAAAAGATCGCAAAGAGAAAACACAAAACGACAAACAAAAAGATCCTTTTAAAAAAGCCCATACCGTCGGCTTGCTTGTGTGATAAGCAACTGGACTGATGCCCCCAAACAAAAGAAGGGTCTTTCTTTCTTGGGGGGGGGGGKGTTAAAAAAAAGCCTGTAGTAGTACCACATCATCAATCTCGGGAAAACAATTTCAACCCTTCTGACTGAACGAGGAATTTTTTTTTTCTTCGAGGGAAATATTTTCATCTTTGAGTAGCTAGTTTTTTGCAATGCTTTCTCCATAAACACAAAAATGACACAAAATAAACATAGACAATATTAGACATAGAAAACTGCAGAGTCTAGTGAACAAAACGGACAATGTCATCTTCTTCCCCCACTAGCTGTAATTGCAGTCAGATACGTCTAACGAAATGGAATCGTGAATGGTGTGTGAGAAAAGAGTGTCACAGTGCTCTCTATGTAGATAGAGCTGAGCCGTGATGGGGCTCCCTCCACTACTCTTGAAATGTGCAAAATGAGAGTGAATCTTCCGCTAGAACATGGAAAGATGCGCCACCTCGAGTTTTGTCTTTTTGTCCATGTCGAGAGTAGTGCAGCGACGCCCATTGTCGCAAATCGACCTGCATCCACTCGCAGACCGATTTGCGCCACACACTTTTGCATTAAAGGCAATATATTAGTATAGCCATATAACCATTTCCCTGTAGTTCAAAGACTACTTCAACAACAACAACAAAAAAAAAGACTACTTCAACTAGAGCAAAGTGTGGGGGCGCCGGGGGGGAGGGGGGGGAACAGATAAAATTTAAAAAAAAAAAAAAAAAAAAAAAAAAAAAAAAAAAAAAAAAAAAAAAAAAAAAAAAAAA